AGCTGGAAAGAAAAAAAGGCTGAATCTTAAAGATGGGGTGGTATGTGAACGAACCCAGACCCACAGGACCACAACTGCATTTCACTTAAGGGCAGACAGTGATGGCTCCATGCTCAGAAAGCTGGGCTGTGGTCATCAGGGACTGTAGGGAGGGGTTACTGAGGAGCAAAGGCGGTTGGGAACAGAGGTCCCTACTTGAGCAGTATTGTGATCACACTAAAAGGGGTTGGAGCACATTCTTTGTATGGTTCCTTAATGGTATGTGAATTACAACTTAAAAAGACAGAAGCAGTTCCCACTAAGGCCACAAGGGGGCAACACTTAAGACACTACATTACATTTCAGAATCCTGCCAGAAAAGGCCATTTTTCTCTGACTGTACTTGTGTGGCATTTCCTGAGCTAGCAAAGAGACAGAAAGCAGCTCTGAGCTACAGAATTGAGGGAAATGAGGGGGCTGGATTGAGAGAAATGGCGGTGGGGTGTGTGGGGTGTGTGGTGGTATGAAGTTTTCTTGTTTTCTTTTGTTTTGTTTTGTTTCTTTGTTTTTAGACGGGGCTACATGTAGTCCAGGCTGGTCTCAAACTTGCTATGGAGTCCAGGATACTGAGTGAAGGATAGATGTGAACTCCTGACCTTTCTGCCTTCCCTTCCCAAGGGCTCAGATTATACCACAATGCCCACTGAAGCTTTTGTTTTGTTTTCCAAGACAGGGTTCCCCTGTGTAGCCCTGGCTGCCCTAGAACTCACTCTGTAGACCAGGCTGGCAGGCTTTCTTTTTGAAATGATGAAAATGTTGCAACTAGACAGAGGTGACAGCCTATGGCCTCACCACCCTGAACACATCTGATTTTGGAGGCTAAAGTGTCATCTAGTGAGGACTGAGAGGTGTGATAATGGTGACACCTTTCACTGGTATTAAAATGTGTGATTTCAACACTGTTCACATTCATATTTTGGGACTTGTAAATTAAATCAGTGTCAAGGCGACTGTCCTCAGAAGGCCTTAAGCACCTATTCCAGCTATTTGAGGGATGCAAGCCTGCCTGAGCCCTCTCCTGTGCATCTGGCCACTGACCCACACCTGCTCTAGAATAGAAGGAGCTCCTTGCAGGCAGGAACACGGTGAGAAGCAATGAGGGCGGGGACAAGCAGGAAGACAGGAGGCTCTTGGAGCTCCAGAGAAGGGCTCCGGGGCCTGCTGTGGCTGAAACAGGGGACAGAGATAGCGCACCCACATGCCCACCCTCCGTTGGTAATCTCACTTAAATTCTCCCGAAGGACTCCCCAGCCGGTCACCCAGCACCTGGGCTGATGCTGGAACATGAAGGTGGAGGGCCGCACACATATTGGCTGGATGTATTTGTTGTAGATGACGGAGGAGGCCAGCCTCAGCAGGGCGAGGTCATGGGACTTCATTTTGTCTTCGGAGTTTACGATGATGTCCTTTACCCTGTACCGGCCAGAATAGACCCTCTTGTCCCAGAAAGACGGCTTGGAAGTGAGCTGCCCAAGCTGGACAGTCCACTTTCTTGGATCAAGGAACCTAGCGGGCAGAAGAGAGATCAAGACCCTCAGGAGGACTGCTGGCCACTTGAGCCCACTGGATCCCTGTGTGAGGTGACACTCTGGGGCCGGTACTGTTTATCTGCTGAGACTCCCTTGTAGGAACAGAGCTCAGACAGTGCATAACCAGATTCCCTTTTCCTGGCACTCTGAGGAGAGAAAAAGGAAGACCACAGTCCCCAGTGGTCTGGTCACTTCTTAAGGACACTGGGCCTCTCTAAAGAAAACCCGTGTAGTATAAAGAGGGCTTGGAAGCTGGAGAGGCTACTGTGGGGCCTGACAGAGTAGGAGAAATATCTGCTCTGGGGTTGGAGATGTAACTCAGTTGACAGAGTGTTTGCTCAGCACGAGTGAATCCATGGGTTTAACCCCAGCATTGTGTAGACGGTGGTGCATGCCCTGTAATCCTAGCATGCCAGGAGGCAGAGGCAAGAGGATCAGAAGTTGAAAGTCATCCTCTGCTAAGTAAAAGGTTCAAGGGCAACCTAGGCTTTAGCACCTCAAAACCAGTACTTTAGCACCATACTTGGTGTGGGCCTAGGATCTGCCTCATCTTCCTCCAGGGGAAGGTGGAATGAGACCCATGTCTTCCTGATTCGATTTGGTAGGGGCAGTGAGCATAGATGAATATATCCCAAACCACATGGGAATGTTTGAATAAAACATCCTGGAAGAATTCGAGTGGTGCTCCCGGCAGGCCAAGGGGAAGGTGATCTGGCTGTAAGCCGCTGCTACTCACTTTGGAACTCAGGCTATCAGGAGGCTGCCCCACCAGGATCCTGCCATCTCAAACTCACTTTTGAAAGCAGTGTGCAGCAGTGAGAACCCATCGGTGGCTGAGAAGGCTCCCTCCGCAGTGGTGGAACTTCTTCAAGCGCAGGCTGGCCTGCCACGGCCAGCGCCCTCGCACGGATTCTATCCCGCCCACTATTCGGGACCCAATGTCATTCCGGCGGCCACACGGCACTGGGACAGACAAATAAGACACGTGGCTGAGCAGCTGAGGAGGGCCCATAGGGTCCCTAGGGTACATGTGTATGGGAGGAGCGGGGCAGAACCATGCAACCGTACACCCCCATCTTCCAGTATCCCGGGGTTTTGTTGAAGAGGCAGGAGATGGCGCAGGAACCCTTCCCACGTGGTTCCCAGACACCCAGCCCTCCACAGAGCCCATCAGTCACTTGAAAGAAGATTGATGTCTGTGGTCTTGAGACCTGTGGGGGAGAAGTGGAAAAGATGAGGCGACCTCTTTATGCCTGGCCCCTGTAGGTGTTTCTCACGGGGACCACGGTTCCTCACCTGCAGCCTGGCTTTCTTCACCGGATCCTGGGTAGAGGGGAGAGGTGAGCTTCACTGGGCCTCAGAATTTCCCATACACCCCTATCACCCCTAGTCTGGCGGATGAATCTCCTTAGCTCACCAGGCTTCCCCAGCGTCACGCACACCGGCAGCAACAGTAGCAGCAGCAGGCCCTGTACACCCATGGCGGCCTCTCTGAAGCCGGGTCCCCAGCTTTAACTTCCTACCGCTACAGCCTCAGTGGCGCCCCCTAGGGGAAAAGCAGCAGAATAGGAGCTTTGCTCAGCCACCTTCTCCCAGCTTGACTCCAGGCTGGTACCATAGCACACTCTTTCATGTAGTGTGTCAGTCCATGAACCACAACCATCTTTTTCTTGTCAGAGTTCAGGAGCTGGATGCCTTCTCTCTCGTGTACTGACAGCTTTCTGTAGGACCAAGGCACTGGCCCTCAGCCAGCACTCCTAGGAAAAGCTCATGACCAGGCCTTAGGGTATGCTGGCTTGTGTTATGTGTTGTTAAAAGTGTTGACCTTTTGCTGGACACGCTCAACAAAGCCTGGCCCTATTTGAGGACAGAAAGAGCTTAGAGCCCTATACTCGGCTTGCTACCGTTGCAATGAGCCCTACACACTCTATGGAGATCACCAGACACTTTTACCCTTTGTAAAGGGACATGCCGGGGCCTATATAACCATGCTGGCTTCTCAAAGTTATCAGCTTTGAATGCACAGCCAGCTGGACATCCAAAACCCGCTGACTCCACCACTGATTAGAAGTTTTTATGGAACTCAGAGGACGTAATATGTTCATGGTCAAAGTTTATACAATAAAGGACACATATCAAAATCAGGCACATGCTTCTAGATTGCCTCATCAGCCAAGACTAATGGACAATGCTTGGTTCTCCCAGTAAGGATCTGTAACTCACAGGAAGTTAGCCCAGCACTGAGCAATAACCGAGGAGGGAAGCACTATAGCCTGGGACAATGAGCCAAAACAAACCTTCCTTCCTGTATTTATTTATTATTTATTTATTTATTTATTTATTTATTTATTTATTTATTTTTGAGGTAGAGTCTCTCTGCATAGCCCCCAGAATTTATTATGTAGGTCATAATATGGTCTTGAACTCATAAAGATCCACCTGTCTCTGCAACCCAAGTGCTGGGATTAAAAGAGTGCATCACCACACATGGCCTTATTTATTTATTTATTTATTGTTTGTTTGTTTTAAGATTTATTTTTATTTATTTAAGATTTATTAATATTTATTTTTTATGTATATGAATACACTGTTGCTATCTTCAGACACACCAGAAGAGGGCATCAGATCCTATTATAGATGGTTAGGAGCCACAATGGGGTTGCTGGGATTTGAACTCAGGAACTCTGGAAGAGCAGTCAGTGCTCTTAACCACTGAGCCATTTCTCCAGCCCCCTAATTAATTTTTTTAAAGAGCTATTTTGGGGAGAAGGTCCAGTGGTTAAGAGCACTTGCTGTTCCTGCAGAGGACCTCAGTTCATTCCCTGTACCCATAAGGCAGCTCAAGACTGTCCATAACTCCACTTCTAGGGATTGGATCCCGTTTTCTGACCTCTGCAGGCACCAGGCACACAGGTGCTGCAAGACATGCATCCAAACAGAATACTCATACATAAAAAATAAAGTAAGTTTAAAATATTATTTATTTATTTTGCTCTCTTGAGACATGGTTTCTCTGTGTGCTTTGTCTGTGCTGGAATTCGATTTATAGACCAAGCTGGCCTTTAACTCACAGAGATAAGCCTACCTCTGCCTCCGAAATGCTGGGATTAAAGATGTGCACCATTGTGTCTGACATTGGTGGCTGCTTCTCCTCCTCCTCCTCCTCCTCTTCCTCCTCCTCCTCTTCCTCCTCCTCCTTCTCCTCTTCTTCTTCTCCTTCTTCTTCTTCCTCTTCCTCTCCTCCTCTTCCTTTCTTTTTGAGACAGGCTTTTCTGTGTAACAACCCTGGCTGTTCTGGAACTCAATCTGTAGACCAGGCTGGCCTTGACCTCGCAGAGATCTGTCTGCCTCTCCTCCCTGAGTGTTGAGATTACGTGTCACCACATCAGGCTTTCTGTCTGGCTTCAAAAAAATTTTTTAAACAAAGATTTATTTGGTGTGTGTGTGCACATGTGTGTGTGCACATGTGTGTGTGCACATGTGTGTGTGTGCGTGCGTGCGGGCACACGAGCATGCACACATGTGCTGGAGAAGACCAGAAGAGGGCCTGCATCCCCTGGGGCTGTCTGATGTGGCTTCTAGAAACCATGTTCTGATCCTCTGAAAGAGCAGCAAGCAATCCTACTGCTGAGCCATCTCTCCAGCTCCTAAGTTGCATTTACTTATTAGTGTGTGTTTTGGTGCTTGTGTGCCACAGCATGAGTGTTGAGCTTAGAGGACAGCGTCCACAAGATGGTTCCAGGCTGGCCTCGAACTCAGAAATCCGCCTGTCTCTGCCTCCCAAGTGCTGGGATTAAAGGCTTGTGCCACCACCACCCGGCTCCTATTAACCTTTCTTTGCCTCTACCTCTGGTGAGTGGTTGATGTGTTCAAGAGCCCTTATTAAATTAGGGTTTGAAAAAAAATCTAAACCTACAGGCCACCTCGATTCCCAGCCTTCTGGGCAGAAATGAGGTTATTTATCTCTGTAGTGGTTTAATTGGATATGAAACACACACACACACAAACAGACACACACAGACACAAACACACACAAACACACACAGACACACACACACACACCCCAGTAGTTCTGTTTCTTTAGAGAACCCTGATTAACACAGCTCCCCAGCACCCACATAAGAAGCTGGCTATAATGTTTTATGTCTGTGATCCCAGTGCTGGAGGCAGAGACAAGAGAATCCCTGGGGCTTTCTGATCAGCCAGGTTAGCTAAGTCAGTGAGCTCCGGGAACAGTGAAAGAGCCTGTCTCAGAAAAGAAGGTGGAGAGCAACTGAGGGAGCTACCCAGTGCCAACCTCTGGTCTCCACATAAATGTTCACTCACGTGTGTCCTCGCCCACACACATATATGCAAACACACTCAAATACTCAAATATATATACATGCATGCACACACACTTTTTTCCGTGACAAAAAAGTGTTAGTTGGGTTACAGAGATGCTCAGTGGCTGAGAGGACTTGCTATTCTTGTGGTTTGCTTCTCAGTATCCACATGATAACTTACAACCATCTGTACCTCTGGTTCCAGAGGATCCGGCACTCTCTTCTGGCTGCCATAGGCACCAGGCACACAAGCAGTGCTCGTACATACGTGCAAGCAAAACACCCATGCACATAAAAATGAATAAATTTTAAGAAAAAAAAAGTGTTAAACTAAAATAAAGGGTTTGAAAAATCCGAACAGCAAACCAGGCTCTAGGATCCCCACCAATTACAAGGCAGGGCGTGTCAGAGGCAGGCCTGTACTCGCCGAGCGTCGGTGTCAGGGAAGTGTTCTAGGTCGTGAGGTCTGACGAGAGAGAAGCATGATGTGTTGGTTATTTCCAGAGCAATGCTTGTTGAAATGAGGAACATGATGGACATGCCCGGGAAGGAGGGATCTGCGGCTCCCTGCTGTCCTGATAAACTCCTTCAGACCCAGGGATGTTTACCAGTATGGCACCCAGCAGGGAACCAGGTACCTGAAAACACAGAAAGGGTTGTAAATGGGTGTGAGACCTAAGGACCAGAGATGAACAGGATAGGCGTTGGCTCTGGTCTTTGAGGAATTCTCCAACACAATAGCTTTTTCCTAATTCTTCTCTGCCATGTCATTCCTTCCCCTCCTCTCCCCTTCTCATCCCTCTCCTATGCCCTCCCCTTCCCTCTCTTCTCCTTGTGCCCCTTCCCTTCCCCTCCCCTCTCCTTTCCTTTCCTCCCTCCCCTTTCTTAGGGAGTATTGTGTTACTTTTCCTGGGGGGTGGGAGGAAATAACAGATCTGTCTCTTCATCCAGACAGGACACCAGTGACAGACATAGAGGAAGTTCAGCCTACGTGTAGCCCAGTGAGCTAGTGCTACTATTCACTACTACTGATACTGGGGCTATTGATTAGAACATGGGTCACTCAAAGGCAGCTGCGTCACCGGAAGTACACACTAGATGAAGATGACTCAAAGCACAGGCAGCTCTGCCCACTACACACTCCCCCCCCTCAGAGATCATTAACTGCCTTTATAGCCCAAGGGAGGGCCTTTGTGAATCTTGCAATTCTGTGAGCCCTCCTCACACAGGTGTGTGTCTCTGTGTGTGCGCACGCGCACGCTGTCCACCTTATTTATTACCTCTTCCTTCTTTCCTTCCTCCCTTCCTTAAAGATTTATTTATTTCTATTTTATATGTTTGAGAGTTTTGCCTGCATAGATATAAGCACATCACATGCATGCAGTTCCCACAGAGGCCAGAAGAGGGCATCAGATCCTCAGAAGTAAGGTTACAGATGATTGAGCGCTGCCACGTTCTAGGAATCCAAGCTTGGCTCTCTACAATAGCACCAAGGGCTCTTAACTGCTGAGTGTCTCTCCAGCGCTCTACCCCGGTTTGCTTATTTTGAGACAGAATCTCTCAGTGGGGCCTGGGGCTTGCTGATGAGGTTTGGATAGCCAGCAAGCTCCAGTGATCGGTCTTTGCTTCCCTAGCAGATTACAAGTGTGTACCATCGTGCTGGCTAGCCAGTACAGAAAGCATTTAACTGGGGGCTAGCTTATAGTTTCATAGGATTAATACATGATCATCATGGTGGCAGATAGGCAGGCATGGTGCTGAGCAGTAGCTGAGAACTTTACTTCCTGATCTATAGGCCGCAGCCAAGAGACACTGGCCTGGTGTGGACTATTGAAACCTCAACGCCCACGCGGAGTGACGCACCTCTTCTAACAAGGCCACGCCTCCTAGTTTTTCTCAAACAGTTCCACCAACTGCAGACCAAGCATTCAAATATATGAGCCTGGGGGGAGGGGCATTCTCATCACATCCATCACAGCCTCAAACTCAGTGCAGTAGCTTAGGATGATTCTGAATCCTGGAGCTGCAGGTGTGTGTTACAGCCAGTGCACCAGCTTTATGCAGCTGCTGGGATCAAACGCAGAGCTTTGCGCATTCAGGCAGGCACTCTACTGGCTGAGCTGTATCCTAAGCCCTTGTTTTCTTTATTTTAAATTACAAATATATTGG